ATTTGATTTTGATTGGGGCAACGAACAGATCACGTTTTATCATAAAAGGCATAATCATGGTACCGTTTCTGATGAAATAAGTTAAATTTGCACTGTACTATCACACCGAAGTGCTGAAAAATCAGTAACTATTATATTCATTGCTAAGATGACAAATTTGACATTCAATTGACCCCGGTAACTCGAACCCCCGCTAACTCGAACTGTTTTTCGTTTCCCTTCAGAGTTTGAGTTAATGGGGTTCTACTGCAAGTTTTAAACGGAAATTTATCTTTAACGAAAAGTTATCAGTGGTGGCCACTCACGACGGTCACGGGTCTGACTTTGGGATAGAGGCCTTAGATTTATAACCTTCATCGTCAGCTATTTCGACAAAGGTTGTTGAAAAAAAGTGTGCACGCGACAATCCCGAAAGGTAATATGGGACATGATCAATACACTTTTCCTGACACTGTAGCTGTCGAACCTACTTTTGTTGCCTTACTTTAAAACTCGCATACATACGTTAATGGCCTCTCGTGCTCTTCTTTCAAATTTCTTTGAGGAACAGTGAACTCAAAACCACCCACAATACCTTTCGGGATTGGCGCGTGCACTTTTTCCGACAACCTTTCTCTAAATAGCTGTATGTATCTTTAAAAAAGTCTGTGACCGTTGGAAAACGGCACAATGAAATGGGGTAAATGCTCCTCGTCACCGTTGTTCTCAGATTAAAGTGTTGATGCATGTTGCACGTTTTGCGGAAATTGAATGAAAGCAGGAAGATTCGCATTTTGCCGTCACACTAAAACGCCGCTCTAAAAAGTTTGGTTTGGATGGCCGGGGACACCTATTTTGTTCTAAGTGGTACATGTACAAATTGATCTAGATTAGTGAGTGGGATGAGGTCTTTGTTTAGAAGAACGAAATGATACAAATGAGCAACAAAATCATACACTTTTATCTCTGTGAGATATGGACGTGTATAAATTAATTAACTCAGCCAACTACTTCTTTTGTCTATTAAGATGTCTTCTTTTGTAAAGAACGTTTGTCTTATCGTTTAATGATGTCTAAATCGAACTTAAAATATTTTATATTCATGTTAAAAAAATAAAATTTTATTAAAATAAAATAAAATGCACTTTATTTGAGTGTCACTGTATTTAGCACGAAAGTATTAATTTGGGACACTATTTTTAAGTCTCCTACCGGAGACGGGACCGCCATTTTATGTGGCCATCCGAGCCCACGAAGGTCCAGCCATTTGCAGGGCAAAGGCCAGTACGTCAGTTTGTTTAGTCTCCTCAGTGTGTCGCTAGTCCATGCACATGTTCGTTCTTTTTTTCTACTCCTTTATCGGCCGCTGCCCTGCTGTTACCACAGCTCTTGAATTCGGATACTTCTAGGCCACCAAATCCACGGGATGTGCCTAATAGGCACTTTTTCATAACCACCTGCAACCTCTGCTTCATTTCCTCGGTCAATCCGCGAGTTTCTGCACCATGCAAGCTCGGCCTTCACAGTCAGTTTGACTTAAAGACTCTCAACTGGCCGTAGATTTCATTGACGTGTGCCGCCATACGTCTTACCTCCCCAATGCGTTTCTAGATTTACGGCCTCTTCAGTTCGCTCGTCCGTTCTTAACGGGTATTCCATAGCGCTACAACAGCTCTCTGATGACCCTTTTCTTAAGTCTCCACAACTGATGTGTAAGAAGGACTGCAACTTGATACTCTGTTCCCGATAATTCTCACTATCTGTTCCCGCGTACATCTCCGACCAGCTAAAAAATACCCCTGTTTCCCTCTCATCCTCTTGTCCAGTGCTGTTTTACTGCGCTCCAAAAATCACTCTACATTATACTTTAACTTAATTAGAAACTATGCGATAGATATCCTCTTCCACGTTCGAAGTAGATGTGATCAGCTAGAACTTTTCTTGGGATAGATTCCCAGCATGTGGTATTTCTATCTTTTTAGAAAAGCGTATGCTTGTTATTTTTTTTAGAATTTTACATTTTTGACTCTGTGTAATTTTTAGTTTATTTATTAGATATGGACTGGATAGTTTTACTATATTAGATTTATTATTTTATTATTATTTTAATGTAACTTGTAAGGCGCATTTGAATATATTCATATAGATATTTGCGCCGAATAAGTAATAAATTATTATTATTATTATGTGGTAGGCGACCACCTCCCGTGACTAACTATATTACAGTTAAACACCTTTAATACAGACACTGAGGGGGAGATAGAAAGTGTCCATATTAACGGGGTGTCACCGTATTAAGCAGGTTAAATATAGCGTTCTTTCCCCAGGAACAAAGCAATTTGTGCGTAATAATGAGGTGTCCATATTACTAGTAAGCGGGTGTCCGCAAAGCCGGTTTTGACTGTAGTTATACTCGCGTTGTGGGTGATCGCTTACGGGAGGTTCTTTTGTACGGCATTTAAGAACCCAGTTGCTGCGACCACCGTCCTTTAGCTGCCACAAAATCCCGGTCGCGCGCATAAAAGCTTGGCTTTCGCAGTTTACAGGCTGCTGCACTAGAAACAAAAAAAAGGAGAGCGTTGCGTGAAGAGAAAAAGAACGAATGCGTGCATATACTTAGTCCACTGAAAATCTCCCAAATACCTTCGTTGTGTGGAATTTTTATCGACTTTTACATCAAGGGAAGCCTGCTGGGATCTTGCAAATCGGTGCTGGAGTAATCTTCTTCGAACCTCCAGAGGATACAACAAACGTAAATGAAGTGTTTTCCTAAATTGGATCAAGAACTAGACGAAAGCAAAAGCTTAAAAGTCCTTAAAGACATTCAGTATTTACCATCGTAAGTGGATATGAGGGCTTAAATCAGCGTGCTGTTTGACCAACTCGCGTTTTGCGTTTGTTAGTTGATAACGGACCACAAGTACATTTCCCCACATTATATTACGCAAATACTCCAAAAAACATATTAACTGATTTCAGATGTGTATGGGTGTAACTGCGAGAGACAAAAAAAGGTAGGGTCCGATCGATCCTATTTCAATAGTATGCATTATAGGAATATATTCTCTGGATTATTCCGGAATAGTCTTAAACAAACAAACAACATGAAAAAATATTGTCTCCAGAATAACGACTCAAAACTTTTTTTGTTGTTACATCACAAAAGAGGTGTCTCTAAATAATGACAGTTTTGCACCAACAATCGAAATACACTTTTTTGCCACAGAAATCATATTGCAGCTGGAGGAATTAACAAAGAAGATTCGGCGGAAGATGAAGAGGTTAATCTAGAAGGTATTTTGGGTT